TTGCCTCATCTATGGCCGAGATCAGTCTTCCAATGGTGGCTTCACCTCGGCTCGGCCACCATTCTCCTTCCACATCTCGGCTCTCCTCGGTTTAGCTGATTTCTGCATTATGGAATGACATGACGTGACAGAATGACATGACCACTACTATGTTTTGTCTATTAAGCTTGACACTATCCCTGTTAGTGTCCGGTCCATGGGAAGTGGAACTCATCATTCTTCCCACCGTTTTGTCTACTATAAATACCCTTTTATCCGTAAGTAAGGTACGCACACATAGAAACACACACACACTTGAGGTTCTTAAACCACTTTGAGTTTACAGTTGAATACCCGAACTGACTTGATCGTCAGAGTAGGATCGAGGGACAGAGCCCTGTACATTGTAGATTCGACGGGTGGATTCCTTTGACTCGGTATTTCAACTAGAAGTCACTTCTTCAGGTTGACTCAGTTCAACTATTCGGAAATCACCTCTTCAATCTACTTATTGGAAAAAAACAGGCAAAATTTTGAATTCACTAAAATAGAAATCTAAAGTGATTTGTGCTTGTCAAACTTTCTCAACGGTTAAACAACTGGTTGATGAATTTAATGTACTTCACATCTAATGGTATATATATTACCCCATTTCACTATCAAGCTGCTTGGCTAAACCATGCTCAGTTCTAACCATGCCAGTGCCAATTCCATCTATTCTGCAATCTCAGCTTTAACAGCAGTGGTTAAGCATTAGAATAAGGTTATTTTTGGCGACTCACAACAACCACCACACCTTAGCCCGGGGCATCCTGCGGGCCCTAACTCATCAACATTCATACATCCTCTAACAAATAGAGATGGACCTCATCAGCTACTACAACCAATTGTTTAGGGATGGGGACATCAGTGGACCAAGGATCTCCAGTTTAGATCTATTCTGCCGCTTCCTTCGAGGCAACTTTCATTGCTTTCTTCATACATACGAGGTAGCTTCAACCAGAAGGACAGAAATTGTTCCTTGCTGTCCTCAATGTGCGTACACAGCTACTCGAGTGCTTGAAGTGCCATTCTATAATGATGCTTCATATACTACTCAATATCAAACTTGATAAAGATACTTGAAATTACATAAATTTGATTTCGAATTAAGTAACAATATGTTGTAAATGTCTCATATTTCATTCTCGTGTTTGACTCATAGGAATGTGTAAATGTAGGAATAGATAGATAAGTTTCGAGCCATTGACTAAACAGAGAGGATTCAAATTTAATCAAATTTAAGGACACATTTATTTGAATTTTTTAATTATTATAAGGATTTATCTTTCATGCACTAAAATACATACACTAGTAGAAATAGATGCATATCACATGTATAAATTTTAAAATTTATTTTATATATAAAAATTAAAATATGCACTGTTGGTATGAAAAAAAAAGATTAATCCTTACGTACAAATATAGTAGGTTAGCTTGCTCCATAACATTTCCTAACCCTTGTAAGAGCCAAGCACCAAGACTTCATAGGCAATGACATTAGCAAGATAATGAGTTTGTTTGGATACGAGTTTATTTAGATGATTCATTTGAGATAATTACTGTAGTACTTTTTTTGTGATGTGATGTATGTGAAATAAAAAAATAATTAAAAAGATAAAAAGGTGGTTGAAATTTGTGAAGCAAATTATTTTATCTGAAATCAGATAAATCCAAACACGCTAAATGACTACAGAAGCGCGTTGTTGCCTCGTTTTGTAAAAGATTAATTTTTCTTTAATGAGTTCTACTTTTAGCACCCACAATAAAAGAAAAAATGGAATGGCATCAATAAGGCGAAACTTTTCTTGATGTAAAACATTTACCGAAACCGTTTGAGTTATGACTTGCCCAAAATGATGACTACATTTTCTAAACAACAAACACACCTTAGCATTAACCCCAAAAATACAAACAAACAAACAAAATTTCTATATTAAATGCAACATGTCAAATCATGATATTCATTTTTTCATATTAAATGCGAAACCCCTAAAAAATTTAGGAAATTGTAAATGTCAACTAATGATATTCTTTTTCTTCTAGGGTATTTTGTGGGAGGGGGGAAATTGGAACCTCCAGTGAAGAATTGTTCTCACAAGCTTTAGTATCACTTGATGTTGATAACGAATGCACTATGAACCCGAGTGATTTAATGAGCTGCTATTTTTGAAAGTAACATATTCGGGAATGAACATGGATCTGTTCTTTGTGTTCTTCGATTAAAAACTAAGGCACGTAAACTTTTTTGTCGAGTGATTTCTAGAACTGAAAAGCTTTGAACGTCCAAGAACAAGAATTTCTGTTTTTGGTGCGTACTACCATAAATGAGAATTGATTCTGCAATGTTATGCAGAAGGGCTGAAATTTCAAGCTTTATACATTCAAGATTTGATTCTTCCGTGCACTGTCATTTTCAGAAAAAAGTGCAGCATTTTGTTTTGCGGTTGAAAAAGAAATTGTTTGACAAAAATATTCGCGATAGCATCATATATTCTCGATTGAAAAGACTAGGGAAATCAGGGCTTTTTTTTTTTCCTCTCTTCTTAACGAATGAAAGACGACCTAAATGACTTTACTGCAGGGATTCCCATATGTTTTCTTTGTCCGACTTATTCTTTCCGCACTACAAAACCAGAACTTTTAAACCATTGTTGGAAGAAGATAATTAATATACTCAATTTGATTTGAATATATCTAACAAAGTGTAATTATATAATTAGTCCGTTTTCGTAACTAGGCGGTGTGAAATCAAACAAGTCTGCTGGGAACAATTTGTGAATGTTAATTACACTTTTCAAATGAGCACAAGTATGTAGGAGTAATATTTTGGTATTACAGCTTCAGTTTTTGTCTTTGATTTCTTTAAGCTTAAAAACACAAAGGCGTGGACTTTCAAATTTAAGTGGAAAGAAATTAATAAGAGTCATCCAAAGGTGTACCATATATTCTGATCCTCAGAATTAGTTCAGTGGAGGTCGAGTGTTGAACGTATATATGATCTGATATTGCGTTTGGATCGAGGGATCTGACGAAAGATTTCAAATTCTTTCGAAATTTTCTAATTACTTAGATTATTTAGAAGATATTTAAATTTATAAATCACCAATTATTCTAATATTTAAAATGTATTTAAATAATTGGAGTATTTTAAATTCAAATATTTCTCAGTCAATCCAAGCAATTACATAACGATTTGGATGAATTTTAAATTTTTAGCAAATTTTTCAATCCAAACGAAGCTATTAATGGTATACAAAAGAAAAGGCCGCTATAATATATTTATTAGTGATTAAATATGCCGTGCTCCAAAAAGAAAGAACAGACGAGAAAGCGCGATGCGTTTGTACGAATGATTTTAACTCGTCAAGTGATGATTCTAGAGCTGATTGTGCTCTGGTCCGGAAGACAAAAAAGTTGCACCATGAACTTGAGAATTTTCAATAGTAATAATTTCATAAAACAAAATTCTCCTTCGTTTACCTTCACACCAAGACTCTTGACGCGGAAGAAGCGAAGCAGAACCGGACGGGGAAAACCAATGAAGATTGTTGGGATTTTGAAGCAGTAATCAAATGGGGCCATATTCGAGAATCAGAGCATAACTTCCCTCAAGACGTGACTCGTATGAAAACTTTTTGAAAGAGGTAAACCTTCTTTGTTAATCAATCATTTATACCCATTGCCCAAAATAAAAGCACCCCAGCAAAGCAATGGACCACCAAGACAACTCCACATAAGGTGTGAACAGATTAGCAGTCTTTGTTGAATTTCTGTGTTGTCAAATTTTGGCTCCTTGCTTGGTCAAATGGACAGATTTCTCACCTTTTACATGCTAGATTAATTTAAGGGCTCTTTTCAGCAGTTAAGTAGGAAGCAGGTTGATTTTAACTTTCACTCATACATGAGTCTCTTATCAAAAGAGTAAATTAATGTTAAATGATTCAAGAACCAACCTGTTGAATCACTAAGCTGCCAATGGTTGAATCCGTCTAAGTATTCCAATCCCGATGATTTAGTAGACAGATACCAACTTTGAACTACCCTAATGCAATGTTCCTTGCTTTTTTGATCTTTTCTTTTGAGGCTACTTGCGTTTAGAAATAAGCCGCGCGTCGCGCTGGCTTCATCTCAATTTTTACTCATTTCGCTCATGAATTTTAAATGTAAAAAATATTTCTTTATGTTCCCAGGATCTGGTTAAACCGGTAGAGATATTAGTTAGGTGTCCATGAAATTCGACTTTCGAATTCTTACATTCTCCTTGTTAGGTTTGGAGTCTTTCTTGAATAAGGAACACAAAAAAAAAAAGGAATGATTTCTTATTGAAATAGCCGTTTTCCAATTTTGATATACTTGAAGAGACATTGAGAAATGAAAGAGGACCACCGCTTGCTTTCAGCAGGAATAGTGGATTAGAATTGTCCCTGTTAGATAAGATGGCAATAATAATAATAATAATACTGACAAACATAATCCAAATCGTGTTTTAATGGCAAATAAAAGAAAGAAAATGTCACTTTAAAATGATAGTGGACCTAAGAGCTGATTGTCGCAAATCTAAATATCGCTCCATTACGGGTTAATTCCACTTTGTCCCCTCAAACTTTGGGCGATTACCCACTTCAGTCCCTTAACTTCAAAATGGGACACTTAAATCTCTAAACTTATGAATTGCTCCCAGTTAAGAAAAATTGTTGACAGAATCCTGATTGCCGTTGGTGGTCGAAGTGCGTGGCAAACACTCTCCGTTAATGAAGATGGGGGAATATTGTTACTGAAAATGATAAGGACATAAACGTAAATTTGGGTCGTAAATTAAGGACAAACAAAGACAAATTCCAGAGAAGGGAAAGTGCGAAACAGTCAGAGAGTGGTCGTTTCTTTCCTCTGTCTTGGATGAAAAAATAGAGAGGAGGGGTAAAACCAAAGTGTGTAAAAATCCGAATGATTGTTGCTGAAAAACACTGAAGATTGCAAGAATGGGAAGAAAGCGAGTCAATGTGAGAGAAAAAGCGTCCGCGTCCGCAGCCAAACAATGGAAAGCAAAAGAGAAGACAAGTACTGGTATGAGAAAAATATTTTAGAGTTTTTTGTGTACTTTAATTGAATTTAATAATTGGAATTTGGGTAAGAATTTACGGTAGCAGTAGAAAAACGTTTTAAAGCCATAAGGATTGTTGAAAAGTTAGGGTTTTGGATGGTTGTGGAATGCATGTCCAAGGCATTATATATTTTTGATGGTACTGTTAGTGGGTCTGCATATTTTACTGAAAAGTGAGTGTTGTGGGAACCCTAATGTTCCTTCTGTTGAAGACATTGTGGTCCCAAATGCTAAAAATGTTGTTAATAATTAATGGGTTAATTATTAAAGATTTATTTTTTTATTTAACCAGAGTGTGGTCCAAATGACATTTTGCCCAACTCATTTTCCTTGGCGATACACCATCAGGGTGAGTTCAGAAGCTCTCCCAGCAAAGAATACGTGGGAGGAAGGGTAGACTATATAGACAACTGTAATGCTGAAAAATGGTCACTACAAGTGCTTGATGAATGTGCAGTAAGACTAGGATACCCGAAAGATGCTCGTTTTGGGTGGTATGGTAGGATTCCTGGTATGCCGCTTGAGACTGGACTATATTTTTGCATGTGTGATTGGGATTGTGATCTTCTAGTAAACACATTGCCACTGAATAGAGTGGCAGAGGTTTATCTACAAGTTGGCACTGATGATAATCCAGTGAGGTTTCAAACTCAAAAAACAGAGTATGTAGACATGCCTGAAGGCCACAAAACTTCTGCTAAGCAGGATACAAAAGATAAAGAAACATCTGAAATGGACAGTGACATAGCAATACTGGAAGAAGTTGACTTCAATGATATGGACAACAGAAGGAAAAATGTGGCTGATGACAACAGTAATGAAGTTGCTACAAACAGTCATGAGAATTTTGATTCCAAAAGTCCTAATTTGCAACAAGAAGAGGACAACAAGAGAGATAATGCAGGGAAAGAAGCACAAATGGCAACTGATAATGATATCCAAGCTGATGAGACTGATGTGCAGGCTGATAATAATGTGCAGGCTAATGATGATATGCAGGCTGACGACAAGTTCGATGATCCAGATTATACGGGGCAAGTTGAGGAGGATGTTTTATTTGATGAAGCCTTAAAGATTGGACAACAATTTGGCGTGCATAAAGGAGCTCCTGAAGTTGGACCTTCTACCAGCAAAGACAGAAGAAAGAAGAGAGCAAGTAGGGAAGGAGAAGCTGTTGACGAAGTAAATATTTGTGATGAGCCTGACATGGTTAATGTGGAGGATATGCAGTCAGAATATGAAATAGATTGTTCTAGAGAGTTGAAGAGTGAGAGTGAATCCGAAGACGAAGATGGTCGTAAGAGAAATAAGAAGCCTAAATTTTCAGTTTTTAATGAGAAAACTGAAATGAGAAGTCCAAGATTTAAGGTAGGCCAGAGGTTTTCATCAGTTGTTATTTTTAGGTTGGCTGTTAGAATCCAGGCTATTATGGAGGGAAGGGATGTCCAATTCATAAAAAATGACACATATAGGGTACGGGTGAAATGCAGAGGCTGTGAATGGCAAATTTTTGGCTCAAAAATGCAAGGTGAAAACACTTTCCAGATCAAGACACTTAGCAAGGAGCACACCTGTGGACGTGTCTTCCATAATAGAAACATGACATCAAAACTAGCTACCAGGTTGTTTGTAGATGAGGTGAGAAAAACACCATCCATGACAGTCCAGGAGCTCATGACTAGGGTGACTGAAGAATTAAATGTAGATTTCAGTCTTAAACAAGGCTATAGGACAATGAAAAAAGTAAGAGACATAATTGAAGGCAGTCATGAAAAACAGTATGCATTGTTAGAGGACTTCTGTGGTGAATTGAGGAGAGCAAATCCTGGATCGACAGTGTTCGTTGAGACGGATGAGGATGAGGATGGGATTGTCAGATTCAAAAGGCTTTACATGTGCTTAGAGCCATTGAAGAGAGGATTTCTAAAGGGCTGTAGGCATTGGATTGGGTTGGATGGGTGCTTCTTAAAGGATACATATGGTGGACAACTACTTACAGCCGTGGGTATGGATGGGGATAATAAAATGTTTCCACTAGCTTTGTCAGTTGTTAGAGTGGAAAATTATGACAATTGGAGCTGGTTTTTGGGATTGCTTGTACAAGATTTGGAAATATCAGATTCCAGTAATTGGTGTGTCATGACTGACAAGCAAAAGGTATGATAAATTGTATTAGCACTTATTTATACAGCAACTTTTTATTTAATAACTCAGGTACAACTTTTTATTTAAGCCAAGTTGTATTCAAACGTGTACAGGGACTAGTTCAGACAGTTAGAGACAAAATGCCACAAGCTGAGCACAGGTGTTGTGTGCAACATCTATACACCAATTTCAAACAGATTCATAGAGGCCTGGCCTTAAAAGAAAGACTTTGGAAATGCGCAAAAGCTTCTTATGTTACCCACTGGAAAGTCGAAATGGAACAGTTGGGGCAAGAATCTGCAGCTGCGCATTCTTGGCTTGATGAAAAAGATCCCAAAACTTGGTGTAGAGCCCATTTTAGATGTGGATTGGATTGTGATATTTTGGTGAATAATATGTGTGAGTCCTTTAATGCAGTAATTTTAAAGGCCAGGTCACTACCAATCATATCCATGCTGCAGACCATTTATTTGTACCTGCTGAAGAGGATGGAGAGGAACAGGGAAGCAATGTCCAAGCACGAAGGTTAAGACACATTTTATTTATTTACTAGTATTAAGGTCAGTTCATAATTTCTTTGAGAAATTTATGACCAATTTATTGTTTTCATTTTGTATTCAGGTCTTCTTTGTCCAGCAATATTTGAGATATTGGAAAAGGCTAAGCAAGAGCAGTGTATGTGCATAGCGTCATATGCTGGGACAATGAAGTATCAGATAAGCTGTCCATTTGGGGAGCAGTATATTGTTGACATGGCTGCCAAAACCTGTTCATGTAGAAAGTGGCAATTAAGGGGAATACCATGTGGCCATGCTGTAGCTGCCATCAACAGGAGACATGAAGCACCAGAGAAGCATGTTTCCAACACCTACTTGAAGATCACGTATCTACAAAGTTATGAACCTGTACTTAATCCAATCAATGGTCCTAATTTGTGGGAGCACATAGACCTTCCAGCAATGAAGCCTCCGACTTATAGAAGATTTGCTGGAAGGCCAAAGAAAATGAGAAAAAAGGCTTCAGAAGAAGACAGACGGGACAGCTGTGTCAATCCAACTAAACCTCACAAGGTTAGCAAGGTTGGCACCATGATGAGCTGCAGCCGCTGCAAAAAATACGGACATAACAAAAGAGGATGTCCGGATAAAAATAAGCAAACCACTGAGGGGACAACTACAAGTTCAGCAAAGGAGAACAGTGATATTGGAGATACAGGCCCATCTATGCAGCCAAGTACTAACGAGGCTTGTCCAAGTGATGTGACCGTTGACATACTTGGAGTAAGTACGCAACAGAGTCACACAGGTCCATCTCAAAATTTGGATGCCAATCAGCCAAAACAAGGGGCACAAGAACCAGTGACAAAGAAAGGAAGAAAATGCTCATTTTGTCGTAAGCATGGTCACTCATAGAATAGTTGTAAGTTGAGGCAATGGACCTTTAGGAGCTCACTGGACATGACTGGAGACTTGGGATTCAAAACTGTAAAAATACGGTCTGATGATCTGGAAAACCCATATAATCATGCTCAAAATAGTTCTGGGCATGTGGAAAAGAGTCCTACAACAACTCATGTAAGTGGTCTCCATACATCAGGTCTTTATTTATGGGTGTCATGTCTTATTGATTCATGTTATGTGCTTGTTTGCAGTTAAGCTCCAAAGCTGATGGTCGCAAACTTTATTCCCACAGCCACGGAGTAACGATGAGAGCACCACACTCATACGTGGACTTGGGGACAGCCTCTCATTCCAGCAGTGGACTTAAGCCAGCACAATTCACATGGCAAGGCAATTTGTGTGTTAACCTGTCTACATTACAGACAGCTGCGGGACATGCGAAGGAGTCACTTGGAATTGAAAATGTGCAGCTCCATGGGGATGGAAACCAATCTGTTAAGTTGGGAAAATTGCAGCAATAGGCCAAATAGCCTTCAAGCATGAACTAACTGATGCTGGACAAACCAACTCAAGAATTGTACAGGCATATAGCCTTTTTTATTTTGCAGATACAATCAAATTGGGCAGTAAAAGCCTCTGTTTTGCTAGTCCAGATGTGGCGAACTTTTGTTCAACTCATATAGTCCATTGGAACTAAGAATTTTTTTGTTAATATGGAATTTTTGTTAGCCTCTGTTTTTGGTAGCCTCTGTTGTGGAACTCATATAGCCTTTGTCTTGCTAGTCCAGATGGGTGAAATTTAGAGGCTGTTAATGTGGAATTTTTGTCATTCCTGGTATTGCTATTATGTATTGGATGATTTGTTGAATGATCAAAGGTTTTTGCTGAAAATTTTATGTTCTGAGTTGATTGCTGTTGTTAATGTGACATAGATTACTTGCAATAAACTTTACAAATTGGGACACTAAAATCCCTAAACAACAAATTCTGATTACATAGCAGGTCCAACGTTCACAATTATGGGACATAGCAGGTCCACTATATCCCTAAATTTGATACAATACATTTAAAACCCATCTACCACCACTCAGGTCATTTCACAAATACATTCATCAGACAAAGCTTTCACCAGTCACAAAAATTCAAAACAATGTGGTACATGTTCACAAGCAAGATGGTTAAAATCCCGACTGTATAATAACGCTGAAACCCGCAAGCGGGATTCTGTGTTTTTCCTACTTCAACGTTACCTCGCATGCGGGTTAATGTTATATTTTATGGCGAGAAGAAAAAATTGGTAATTAGGATAAAAATATGGATAAAAATAATTGGATAACGCAACCGACCCAATTAACCCATCTACCACCACTCAGGTCATTTCACAAATACATTCATCAGACAAAGCTTTCGTCCTGTCACAAAAATTCAAAGCAATGTGGTACATGTTCACAAGCAAGCAGGTTAAAATCCCGCCTGCATAATAACGCTGAAACCCGCAAGCGGGTTTCTGTCTTTTTACTATTTCATTGTTACCTCGCATGCGGGTTAATATTATATTTGATAGCGAGAAGAAAAAATTAGTAATTAGGCTTTTTGGGCATTATAAGTCAATATTTAAATTAATGACAGTTAAAAAAAAGGGTTGTATAAATTGGCAGTTAAGTTTTCAAAATTAATTTAGACGAATTTGTAAAAAGTTAGAATAAATAGGTTGTAAACGAGCAATTGGGTTGTCAAACTCGTTTTTTGACATTTCCATTGAACTACATTTACCCATACCGGCCATGAATAGATGGGTATGCGAATCTTAAAATTTTACTTATGGATATAAATAATTGGGTAACGCGACCGACCCAATTAACCCATCTACCACCACTCAGGTCATTTCACAAATACATTCATCAGACAAAGCTTTCACCTGTCACAAAAATTCAAAGCAATGTAGCACATGTTCACAAGCAAGATGGTTAACATCCCGACAGCATAAAACGCTGAAACCCGCAAGCGGGATTCTGAAAGTGCTGGTAATTACATAGTCAGCAAAAGCAAGAATTTCCTTCCTGCACCACTCAAAAGGTCCACTACTTAGCAATGACAGACAAAGGTGGTCCCATATTTGAGCAAACAAAACGGGCAGTCCGGCATAAGCGGTTGCTTCTTCTACAACTCATTTTGGACCTTCTCCCCCAGATTTGAACAAAAACAACCACATGACAATGGCAACCCAGTGGATAATCAAGTACCTCCTTAGCTTCCTTACTTTCGATTGTTGGCACCTTGAATTTTCTTTCAACCTATCCAACTCAGCTTCCATCTTGTTCATCGACCTTAGCAGTCCAGGTATTATTTCTTTTGACCTTTGACACATCTCAGGATCAACCCAATCCCAGTATATGCAGCCTCCTTGTTCCTAGTTTGACAAGAACATTATGTTTGCAGACAAGATTAGGTGGCTGCAATTCATACAAACCCAAAATAAAAAACAAGTATAAACACAAAACCCTAATTTCCCTTACTCTGTACTTGGCACATCGACAAAACCTTCTTCCTGGGTTCATGGCAGTCCATGATGTCATCATCAATGTTTGCTTTCCACAATCACAAAATTGCCTCACCATTTCTCTTTGTTTGTTGAACCATGCGTTGGGTTCTCCTTTTCTTCTTCCTGCCCTGTGGATAGCAGAATGACAGCTTGGGTCTCTCAGCATACCGACCTGAAGTGCCCTTTTATGATTTGGATCGGGTCTACATTATCCATCTGAAGTGGGTAGCATGGAGGGAAACTTTCCCTCCATATTTCACCATTTTTTTTTAATCTATATATGTGATTTTTTGTGAATTTTCATTGTTGCCCTCAGTCAAAGGACAGTGTTTGCCACGCACTTCGACCACCAACGGCAATCAGGATTCTGTCAACAATTTTCCTTAACTGGGAGCAATTCATAAGTTTAGGGATTTAAGTGTCCCATTTTGAAGTTAAGGGACTGAAGTGGGTAATCGCCCAAAGTTTGAGGGGACAAAGTGGAATTAACCCCTCCATTACTGCTGAACATTTTAGTTGGTTGACCTGACCGGCCCAAATTTCCCGGTGTCTATTTTTGGCTGACGTGACTAAAAGGACAGCACCCTTCTTGTGCAGCAATTGCACTTGACCAATCTTTGCCGGTCATTAAAGTCACCAGCCAGGCCAAAATGGGGACCTTCATTTGTCACTCTTTCACTTTATGAATCAACGCATTATTTTATTTTTTCAGTTAACCGAGCTTCAAAGATCTTGACAGTACAATGTTCCTACAGACGGGTTTCACATGTAAGAAGGAAGAACAATGTTCCTGCTCATTTATTGTCTCATTTGTCTCTGTCAATTGAGGGAAGCCACGTCTGGTTTGTAAACTTCCCAAAGGAGATTATGTACGCTGCAAAAGCAGATTTACTTTAATGAAGCTCAGTTTTCATTATCAAAAAAAAAAAAAAGATCTTGACAGTACAGGTTTTTGTTTTCAGCTGTTGCAGGATTCATCAGTTTGTTGGACAATGTGGGTTTGTTATTCAGGCTTGACCCAAAATCATCATCCAGCCCAGACCCAATGCTATCAATTTGGATCACAAAGATAATGGGCAAACATTGCCTCACTTGCAAAAAAACCATGCTACTAACAACCAAGAACCGATAGCCCAAGAATAACTAACTCTTTGAAACGTTTTCCTTCTCCCCTCTCATTGATTTATTGTAACCAGCATCGACCGCATTCTACGTGTTTGATGAATTGCTTCAGAACAATGCTCAAGATAAAGCATCTAGCTTCTAGCTCCGGCCACTTCTCTGCTTTCTTGCACTCTTCATCTGCACCGAATGTGCTGAAAACCGGACAGGTTCTGAAGCTAGCCAGAACATTTTCAGACTCGGATGTTGTGGACTACTCCAAGCTAAGCTTGGACGGGAACCCTTTACATTTCGAACCTGAATGTGCCAGAATTGCCGGTTTCGCTGACAGACTAGTCCCAGGAATGCTCGTGGCTTCATTATTCCCTAGGATCATTGCATTTCATTTTGTCAGTTCTCTTTTTCGCAATTTCTCAGCCCAAATTTTGTGAACTTTTTTATTTTCCTTTTTAATTGATCGTTTCTTGTAGCCAGGGGCGGTATACGTATCACAAACCTTGCAGTTTAAATTGCCTGTTTATATTGGGGAGGAGATCACCGGTGAAGTGGAGGCAACAAGTATCAGGAAACTGAAAAACAAATACGTGTAAGTTTCACGAATTAAACCCATGATTTGTTAGGAAAATCCTATAAGCCTTGTGGGTTCATTACTGTTTCTTTTACATGCATACATGCATAAATCCAGGGCAAAGTTTTTGACGAAATGTTTCAAAGACGATAATACTCTGGTTATCGATGGCGAGGCCACGGCAATCTTACCTGCTCCGGCTTGGGAGAATTCACGGACAAGAGCATGAACCATTCTTCCACATCCCTGGAGGAAGGCTTCAACGGCAAGTTTAACTTCGACATTCTTATTTTCAAATTGTTATTTGGTGAATTGAATTCCCCCTTCTGTAATCTTCTGATGTTAAACACTCCAACGAGCGCTTTCCAATTCTTTTCCAGCTAAGGAATGATGCACAGAAGTTCAGCTCATGCTCGCAAAAATGTTAATCAATTTTGCTTATTTGAGTTTTTCGATGTCTTGCACACTCGCAGTTATACAAGATAAATTCCGATAAACTAGAATTGCTACCACTAAAGGGTAAAATTTAAGGCATCAGCAACAACACCCCTTTTTACCAATCATTGTAACTCTTTCCTCCATTCGCAATTTAGCCTAACCCACACAAATGACAAAATAATGAGAGGACCGTTTCCAGGGCCAGCTGACATGGTCCAACAAATCATGTTCTTCTACCTAGTTCCTCCCTTGTAGGACTTCTCAAAACACACTCACTGCCCAAAATTCCTGAAGAAGCTATATAACACTGATTAAATTGCAAGTTCTCCTTCTCGGGGAGCAGCTACAGGGGCCTTGGGTTTGGCCTTTTCCACAACGATGGCCTGTGTGGTAAGAACCATTCCTGCAACTGAAGCTGCATTCTGCAATGCACATCTTGTCACCTTAGCAGGGTCAATTATACCAGCATCTACTAGATTCTCATACTTGTCCGTCATCGCATTATAGCCGAGTTCCCAGTCACAAGACTTCACCTTCTCAACAACCACCTCTCCTTCAATTCCAGCATTTGTAGCTATCAAAGATGTAGGTGCCACTAGTGCCTACATCAAGAGATTTAAAAGAAAGGTTCACAGTTAGGCGTTACTGGAGGCAGGCATTTCACAACAACTATGCAACAGCAACAAAATTTGCGAACATCAACATTACTCCCATTTAAAGAGAAAAGCAAAACGTTTAACTGATAAAATGTTAATATTTGCAAACCACAGCCAACAAGCAGCAACACACCAGTTACATCTTTCAAGAAATTAGGGGAAGAAATTACCACCTCTGAGATTTAAAAATTTTTGATACTTTCCTATTCAATTTCTTGAAATATGAGGTCTTCTTTCAACTTTGAATCACTCCATCTCAATAATTACCAAGAAGGATGTCACCTAGAATCCTTTCCTAATTCCTTCCACCTAGCAATTTGCCCCACTGAGCTCTTCAATTCAATCTATAAAGATAACTAGTAAAGACTCATTTCTATGAATGACTTGAGGTAGCTTTGCCAAGTTAAGCTTGTCGGTCTAACTGTCTTGGAGTAAATCAACTCTACTACCAAGCCTACTGGAAAATAATTAGTGCATGTGAATCAGTAAAGAAAATCAACCAAGTTCACTCAAAATGACAGAAACAAAATTTTTTAGGGTACTTAAAGAGCTAAGGTGCATTCCTTACCTTTTGCACGATATCAGCCCCTAGCCGCTCATCAGCATCTTCAAGTTTGTCCTTAATTGCAGGAACGGAAGTTGACAAATGAACTAAGGCAGCCCCTCCACCAGGAACAATACCTTCCTCAATAGCAGCAAATGTAGCATTCTTGGCATCTTCAATTCGGAGTTTGCGGTCTTCAAGCTCAGTCTCTGTCGCAGCACCAACCTTAATAACTGCAACACCACCAGACAATTTAGCAATCCTCTCAGCAAGTTTCTCAGAATCGTATATTGAATCAGTCTCAGCCAACTCCCTTTTTATCTGTGCAATTCTAGCCTGTATCTCATCCTTTGATGCAGCATCAGCAATGATGATTGTTGACTCCTTAGTGACCGTCACCTTTCTCGCAGTACCCAATTGTTCAACTGTAGCATTCTCAATAAGCAGTCCCAAGTCTTGAGCTAGGAACTGAGCTCCTGCATTAGAAAGTAAACAAGAAAATTAGCAGATAACATTCTCAACTGACTGCTTTTTGCATTCTTACCCCAAGATGCATGACAACCACAACCATCCCCCCCTCCCTGCCCAACTAAAGAAGGAAATTAAAAAAGTGGTCAAGATTGTTTCCCCCTCTTTAAGTGCCAAACAAGCAACACTCTCCCTTCCCGTATGACTCCCCCAGATTCCCAAAAAGACCAAAGATGCTGAATAACATCTTTCATTTTCTAGCATGCATAAAATGATAATATTGACATACCAGTTACAATAGCGATGTCTTGAAGAAGGGCCTTTCTTCTTTCACCAAACCCAGGAGCTTTGATAGCAGCAACATTCAGGATACCTCGAAGCTTGTTAACAACTAGAGTGGCCAAAGCCTCTCCAGTGACATCTTCAGCAATAATGAGTAGAGGTGCCCTTATCTGCGTTGTTTTCTCCAACAATGGAATTATGTCCTTAATAGCAGAGATCTTCTGATCTGTGACCAATACCCGTGCATTCTCAAACTCAACAATTAGTTTCTCAGGATTGGTAACAAATTGTGGAGAGATGTATCCCCTATCAATCTGCATGTCAAAAAGAATAATGACCAAGTCATATTAAAATCACAATTATCAAGTAAACAAAACGCAAAGCAGGAGAAAAAGATTTTCATATCAAGACTTGGGAAAGGCATGGGGAAGCAGCTCGAACAGACCTCCATTCCTTCCTCCACATCGACTGTTGTCTCAAAGGAAGAGGATGACTCAATGGACAAGACACCATCAGGTCCAACCTTGTCAATTGCATCAGCAACCATGATTCCAATAGTTTCATCATTTCCAGCAGAGATAGTAGCAATGGCTGCATATAGAGGAAGAAATACATCAATACGAATCTCTGGTGACATCAAACTAGGAACTAAATGGACAATACATTTGGATCCACATAATAAGAGCCAAAAAATATACCTTTGATATCTTCACGACCTTTAACTGGCCTGGCCTTTTTCTCTAGCTCATCAATCAAACCTTGTACAGTTTTATCAATGCCTTTCTTCACAGAAACTGGATTGGCACCAGAAGTAACACTCAGCAAACCAAGCTTAATAATTTCACGAGCGAGAACTGATGCAGTAGTTGTTCCATCACCAGCAGAATCATTCGTCTTGCTTGCAACCTTTAGTATGTAGTTCAACATGTCAAAAACTTACTAGCAATTAACAGGGAAGACAATTATAGTTGTAAATTATCCGATAAAGCACCAAAATCTGGAAAGTACGTCAAACTACATCAACGAAATAGCAGCTGAGAAAACTATGATCCTACCTCCCTAATCAATTGAGCACCAGCATTTTCCATGGCATTAGGCAACTCAATAGCTCGAGCAATAGTCACACCATCATTAACCACCTTGGGAGCTCCAAATTCATCCAATACCACATTCCTTCCTGTGGGACAACAAACCACAAAACCTATTCATCTTTTTGAAGACATAAACTCATCATGTAGTGACATCAATCGCCAATTAAAATAGCAGGAAGTCTAAGCAGAACACGAAAATTTACAGCTATAGACTTTTAGCATTTTCATGCATTCATATGGAACAACAGCCAACCACACAAGAGAAGGTAGGAGTTCCTTAAGTTCCCAAGTTCTAGATTTTTACCCCAAACCATGTACCACCAATTAAAACAGATTATGGTAAAATCACCCTCCAACTCAGCCAATGCTACAGGAGTGCAGGATGGTTCAATTGCTCAGCATCCTAATTGTAATAAGGTACAAGTTTTGGCTTCTTAACAAAAATCATCAATAAAAATAAATAAATTCAACCATGACAAGATTGAAGTAAACATGATGCCAGTTGCTGAAAATCCTATTTCCATGCTGTCAAAGAAAATTAAGTCCAACATTTGTCTAGGTGGTGGTCGTTCCTTCTTTATGCTCAGAAAGCTCGCCATATAGAAATACTTAACCGACCATAAAGAACAATGCTTTTCACAGCTTACAGGTGCACATCCTAAAGCAATACACTCCAGGATGCCTAAGACGAAATCGCCCCAGAAGGTTTTTACGCATTCATTCAGTTAACAAATTGCAGTAGCACAGGAGCAATGACAAAAACCGAGACTATCCTTGCTTTGCAATTAAGTCAAGTGGGATTCAAGACAGACACTTTCTAAATATCATAAGCCCGCAAAACAGTTCAAAAAGAAATGCACAGGTGAAGCTAAATAAGTAACAGCACTTCAATCATTATCAGAGCTTGAAACAGAAAATTTGTCGTCGAAGAAGAAATTACCCCTGGGACCAAGAGTAAGACCAACAGCATCAGCAAGCTTATCAATTCCAGCTTGAAGGGCAATCCTGGAATTCTGGTCAAAGGCAATTTCTTTAGCTGCAGCCCTGACTACAAGCCTGCTTTTTGTGGGCTTGTAGTTAACCTTCTGCCCCTGCAATTGGTTCATCCTCGTTCCCCTCAAACCTCCCTGCCAGAAAAGCAAGACCCAAAAACATGAATCAGTAAAACTCCTAATAAAACCAAAAGCAAACAATAAAACCCAAGTCAAGAAAATCACCAAAAAAATGCTTACCTGTTTTGAGGGAGTGGACAGGATTGAGGCAGTGCAAACAGCATTGGTTGATGCCATTTCACCAAGATTTTGGGTAAGCTCTTGATGAATCGCTAGGGTGGGTTCTCTTGGGTGTTTGTGAACGGATAAGGGGCGAGGGAATGTAAAACGAGCAAAAGTGGGATTCGTTTGGTGACGATTTCTACTAGGGCTTATTAGGGGGTTATAGAGAGAGTGAGGAGTTTCCAGAAGATTCTTTTAGCTCGAGAACCGTTTAGAGACTGTTGTGAAGGAAAAAGCCGGGTGTCTTTTTCTGGGTGCTACTCTCAACCGTTCAAGGCTTGAGATAATAACTACTATTCGTTGCCACAGAGTCCCATGGGCGAGCCTGCCTTCACTACCGGTTCAAATAGTCATCACATATATGAGCAAAAATGTACTCCTATAATTCCATACTTTCCTGCATTTGATTACTCTTTTCTCGAGATATTTGCAAAAAAGGCATATACTATCGTTTTTAGAACAAACTAAACAAGATATGAAACTTGTTCTAAATATAAAAACTTGTAGTACTACTTTAGTCTACACATGAAAATTGAAAAAAATTTTGCTTTTTATATAGAATGCACTTGCATTCAAATCATCGCACTGCTTAAAAGTAATACGCTATTAGTAGATGATCGATAAGAATTATTATAAGTTAACTCGTTGGCTTGTGCGTCAGGTCCAATTTCTTAAATATTGTAAGTTAGCTAATAC